CTCATTTAGGTAAAGGTAGATTTTAGAGGCTTAAATAACAGTACGTGCAACCACTTTGTCTTTAGAGATCAACAGTTTAACCAGTGGAGAATTTAGGTTATGATAAATTTTATTGAATCAAAACACCTATTTTATAAAAATTTCAACTAGTCGTCAATTCAAACTAAATTATTCATCAATCATAAATCTATCCAATTATCATATACATTAGTACTAATATCTAAACACTTGAAATAGTTTAATCTGTATATTAGACAAGGGTGGAAAACTAACTAACTTCAATTAAAGGTGCAAAATGTTAACATTTCTCTTTAACTAATTCTCATCAAGAAAAATGAACTAGTCTACAGAATTTCAAATGTCAAAAATGATTTAATTTATGATTTCCTTCCAGTTTTAAAAAAAGTAAGAATTATGTTGTTTTTTTCGTTTTTTCTACTGAACAACAAACACAAAATCCTTTTATTTTATTTCTAAAGTATTATCAATCTACAAACTATTGTACTTTTCTACATTTTAGTAGATACAAACATTGTAAGTTGATCTGTTTCCTTCAGTTTTTTTTCTTCAAAAAGAAAAATTAGCTATGAAAGCGATTCACAATTAATGCATGGAGTGTATATTTATAACTTAAAGTGTTTATGATACTTGAATTACAAAGGAAAATTAAAATAAGTGTTACCAGTAATCTTGTTAGCATTACTTTTGTGTTTTGTTTTTATAAGATTTCTTCATTAAGATTAAAGTGTATTAAAATGACCGAATGGAGTTATGTGGTAGTGATCAATGGATAGTATCTAGCACAACACACGAATCGATAACAAATATGATTACTCATTCAGTAATTTATATTTCAGGAAAACATTTTGTCCATGATTAAGAAGAAGTATTGACTAGTAAGAATATAGCTTTATACATACATACATATATATATATATATATATATATATATATATATATATATATATATATATATATATATATAAACCCAAAATATCGACTACTGTTCAAACCATCTTCTCCAGATAATAAAACTTTAGAAGATTATTTAGTTCCAGTGTAAAATAAACTAATTATTTTATCATTAATAATAATGATAATTGAATTTCTGTAGAAATATTAATCCACATTAAAAGTTTTAATCATTGATATGAAAATTTAATTACTTCTGAGAGATAATATCTTTACGACATAATACAAAAAAATCATGGGTTTCAAATCAGTTTGGTTGTTTTTTTAGTGTGATTAGCTGTTTATTAAAGTCTACATATAATGCGACAAAATATTTGCCAATACTCTGTACTTACGTGATGATTATTTCCGAAAATGAATTGGTTCTATAAATCTTAAATTCATGGTACTTATCTCAAAAATTTTCTACACTATGCTGCTTGTGCATGATCCCAACTTTATCTCCTTCCCTACTTAAAACTTCTATCATAGTATGACAAAAAGCATTTCAGCTGGACCCGTTTTAATTTCTCATAGGATTATTAATTAAGTGTTTACGAAAACCATAAATAATCAACGTTCGTTATCACTGTCAGCGGAATAAACTCATTCAACCGAACTCGGATTCGGCTTCTGAAAAGAGGAAGATAAAGGTGGAGAATCCAGAGTATTGGGATTTGAAAGAACAGAAAGAATGGTTGCACCTGCGACCTTGTAAACCGTTTCGAACCTTGTCATTCCAGGTCTCTAACCATCGATTACAATCATCTCGCCGACCTCAACCAGGTAGTTTTCATTCAGTAACATGACACAATCAACTTATCAGTGACTTCAAGGATTACTGACGTGTTTTGAATTGGCCACCACTAGCTTTCTTCCAACCTGCTCCTACACCAGGTATCATAGATCACTGAGGCAGTCAGTGCCTGTGCATACGCACCACATGTCCCAACCACCTCAAATGATGAAGTTTCATTACTTCATCTATTGATCTGCCATCCTTACCGAGTGCTCGCTTCCTAACAACTGCATAGCTCACACAATTTTCCCACAGAATACGAGCAATGCCTCGAAGACATCTATAATCGAATACTAATAACCTACGAATATCTTCTACTCTCACTGGCCATGTTTCAAACCCATAAAGTAGGACGGAGTGAACTACTGCGCAGTACCCTCGTCCTTTGGTTGGCAGACCGATATCTCGCCTACGTTATAAGTGACGCAAGTTGGCAAAAGCCAATCGAGCTTTCTGGATCCGTGCTGAGATTTCGTCAGTCACCAGCCCATCGACACTGATGAGAATCCCGAGATAAGTGAAGCGGTCAACACGCTCGACTACTTCACTCCCTATCACTAGTTCAGGTGCCGATGCAACCCAGTCTTGAAGCAACATTTTGCATTTCGGGGGGGGTGGAAACCACATCCCGAAAATGCTTGCATTGCTGCTTAAGGTGGTCAGAATACAGCATTTTGTCAGCGTCTTCACCGAATAGAACTAAGTCATTGGCATATTCTAAGTCAGCGAGCGGGTCTCCTGGTAAAGTTCAACTCCTGAAAAGTCAGATGACGCGAGTGTTGTATTTAAAAGCACGTCAATGACAATATCAACCAAGAATGGAGACTCGGCAGCCCTGACAGACACCATTAGAAGTAATCAATTACGAGGAAAGTTCGCAATAAGCTCTTACTCGACCAGTGCTGTCCAGTTAGAGAGCCTATATAAGGTTAACGTACTCCTCTGGTACACCATTTAGTAACAGACACTGAAACAGAACATCATAATCGAGAGTCGAATGCCGCTTTCATTTCAGACATTATATTAGTTAGACTGATTCCCCTGTGATTGTCACAAGAAGATTTTTGTCCTTCCTTATAAATTGTGACAATCACGGATTGAGACCAGTCTGATAGGAAGCCTCCAGTTCCAAAATTCTACCTAAGATCTCAGTCAATCTAACTGCTCAAACTAGACTACCGTCCATAAAAATCTCAGTGGTCAATCTATCAGGACGGGCTGCTCTCCCTCACTTCAGATTTCCTATCGCTTTCTCAACTTCATAAAGACTAGAAGGACTGAAACCGACTTGCCATTCAAGATGACTGAAGATCGTGGGCAACCGAAGTGTGGCTGAAGGCCAGCTGAACTGATTCCTAAAGTGTTCTGCCCATCGGTCCAGTATCCTGGATTGAGAATGAATGATAGCTTCACTCACATTCTGGTTCCTAATATAGGATTCCTTGATGAGTCTAAATAGTTGCCTATCATCGCTGCCTTTTCCATCTCTTGCTTTCGCTACCCACTGTTGTTCGCGACCACTGCGTAGGCTTTTTATCAGCCTGCGCTTAAGCCAATTCCGCTCCGCATCGCACTCAGAGCAAGGCGGGATGTTTCCAAGCGCCTATCAGCTCGGTTGATGCTGCTGAGATTCACGGCCTCTCTCTAACCTGATGGTCTACGTTATTCAAAGATATCATTGCTGTTTCCATGGCTTTTTGGATATCATTCCAAGCTGCCTCCGGATGGGAATCATATGGCCGCCTAACTGTTTTTCTATCTGTTCCTGAAATATATTCTCAGGTATGCTTTAAGTAAGTAGAACCCCAAGAGTTTTTATTGCTGTCTTTCCTGCGTCCAGCGAGTGGCAAACAAATACGTACTCACATTAGAGCATGACCTGAATCTAAACATGTGCCCCACAACAAGCGACAGTCTTCTATCGAATCCCTCCATCGGTGGTAGATAGCGATGTGATCTAGTTGGGTCCAGCGTTGGGGCGACTTTGGGGGTTGCCGGGTTGAAAGATTTCTTCCTTATGCTTAAAGTTAATGTTCGCTAGAAAAAGGCGCTTATCTGCAACAGACGGTCGCCATTATCTGTTCGATCAGCCACGACACCATAAGGTCCACCCAGGTGTCTTTCCTTTTCACTGAGTCTACCTACTTGAGCATTAAATTCAACAGCCATCATTACTTTATCAGAGCACCTAACTTTTTGGAAGAGGCCCGAAAGCTTTCTGTAGAACTCATCTTTTACCTCGTCTGAACTACAGTCAATGGGAGCGTAGGCAGAGATAACCAACAGGCAACGGCGTGTCCCTATCTTTCCGAGTCCTTACTGTTCCGTTCAGTCGGACAGCGCACAAGCAACTATCTTCTGAGACCCAATCTAGGAGGGCTAGTTCTGCCCTAGGACCTGATACTTTACTACACCGGCGAGACCCCGGGGGGGCAGCAGCAGGGCTCGAAGAAAAGCTAAGCGTAAACCGAGTTGATTCTCAATCTGGACAAGTAGAAATTAAACTGATGATTTTACTAGGCAAGCCCAACCACCATTTCAAGGCAGGATCTAGGGTTGTGAAATTTATAGCATAACAAAGATACAATAAAAATTTCTGTCACTTTGTTGAGTTGAATATTTTGTTGAAAAGAAAGAACCATTAGAGATGTAGCCCTATTCTGAATGGACTACAATTCCAAATACTGGTTTATGAACCCAAGTTCTACTTCAGTTCAAACACCGAAGTAAGATTGTCAACTTGTGCACAATAAATGTAGTATGATGAGCAACGGTACGTTATGACATGTACTTTGTTTCTGTGTCGCTTTGACTTCCCTTGAAGATAAATAATGGTCTATGACGTTTGAAGTCTGAACTTTGAATTAGTTATATAAGAGAAGGAAAATATTGCTCCTGAGCAAAGTTCTCTGAATCTCAATTCATTATTCCTCGTCGCAACCAGATCAAAAACTTATCTAAATATTAAGTTATTTGAATTGATCACGAGTCGGTAACGGTCAGGGAAATAAATGCTGGTTGAATCTCGCATGTACTACAAAATACTCAACAAACGACTTCAAATCATCATTTAAAAGCGCATAATCCCACAGAATGAAAAAACATTTGATAAAAATATTTCTAATTAAAAATGGTCGATAACAACAAAATCAGCTAAAGCTCTGTAGTTTTTACAATTAATATAAAAATAAATGCTTATGTAAAAAGAAAGTTTTAGGAGATCCGACCAAATAAATGCAGGGAAGGTAACTTATGTGAAAGTTAGTGGTTCAATGCGTCTGTCATCCATATGAGACTGAATTACTTGACTGAATTCCTTTCTATTGGCTAAAGCATAACCAACAGACAATAAATGTTTAATTTTGTTGTTGAATACGTTCGCTGTCTCTAGTGGTTGAGCTAAAACAAAATAAAATTGCCCAGGAAGAAATTAACTAGAATTACTAGGAATATAATATTAGTGAGTTCAATAAAAATCTAATAGATTCTCCTGAAGACAAAAGTTTAGAAATACAGAAATGACAGTCAACATTCCAGATGACTGCATGACCGTCACTATCAGCCTACTCACTTCATGTACGGATACATATTCTTTCGAGTTTAAGATTCTGATGTCATAGTAGTAAGTTATATGACTTTTTTGTCTGGTAAACTATACTCATTTAATAATTTACGAAGAAAACTTGTAGTTAGTTTACTAACGTTAGCATAAATCACCGGACACGTTCTGACTAAATATGGTTTGAAGATTCTAAACATTTCAAATTAACTCTATACCTTAATGTAAAAAGCCTGAAGCATTTTGTGCACAAATATCAGTACGAATACTCTAGTGACCGCGAACTTCCACTAAAATACCATCAACATGCGTTGATTAAAGTAAAAGAATAAATGGCATGAATTTAACCACCTTTGACTTGTGAATCAACTACAGCCATGTTGCTGGTGCCATTTTATTCCATAAAATCATTTAAAAGATCAGTTTAACAATTTTTCTATAATACTTTCGATTACTTTTGGGGTGGAATGCCAAGAGTGATAAGCCCAATTCTAGACCTTGGCCAAAATCGCCTTCATCATTGGCAAACTGAACACAAGTAATTAATTCGTCGATTGGAGCAAATTTAATTAACTGTCGTTCTTTTGACTTTTCATTGACAATATCTTCCAGTCTGTTGTTCAATTCAACTGTCAAAAGGAAATAACATCAAGATCGGAAGTTTAAAAAATTATGAGATACATGTACTTAATATCAGTTTTTTAATAGTTGCAAAAACATATCCAAAGTTTAGACGACATAAAACAACTGCATATGAATACTTTTTACAACAACCATAAAACATGAGTGATGAGAAGACAAAGCAAACAATATCCGATTTTCGAAATGCAAATGGTATACAACAAGACTATGAAAACCAATTTTTGAAATATATACAAAAGTCAGTCATATGCAACGGAGAACTTCTTACGTAAGTACATCCGTTCATGCTGCCATACCACATTAGCACAGAGACGCAATTGTCACTCCTAATCGTGAAGATTAGGGTTCGAAGATGTTATTCAAGAAGTATAATTCAGTGAGATAAATTTAGAAGGACAAAAGTAGAGGTGATGAATCCAGAAAATTAGGATTTAAGAGAACACAAAGAGTGGATGGACCTGCGCCATTGCAAACGATTTTGAGCCATGTCGTTCAAGGTCTTTAACCATCGGTTACTGTTATCTCGCGGACCCTATCCAGATAGTCTACAGCTGCCAACATGATCCAGTCCACTTGTCAGTGACTTCATGGATTTCTGCCATGTTTTGGTCTGGTCGCCCCTAACTTTCTTCCAACCTACTCCTACACCACAAAACAAAGTTCGTCGAGGCAGTCGGTGGTTGAGCATTCGTAACACATGTCCCAACCACCTCAACTGATGAAGTTTCAATACTTCGTCCATTGATCTGCCATCCGTACCTAGCGCAGGTTCCGTAACTATAGCACTACTTACTCGATTGTCCCAGGATATACGAGCGATGCTTCGAGGATATCAATAATCGAATACTAATGACCTACGAAAGTCTTCTCTTACCGGTCGGGATATATGCAAAATATACATAATAAATAGAATACAGACTGAATGAAAAAGCTTAAATAATTACCATTGAAAACAATCACAAAGGGATGTAAATTAATTTTGACGATTATTACAAGTAGCTCGATTTTGCAGTTATGCTCAGCTATAAATTAAGAATTTAACTTACCGTAAGAAACATTTAAAGGACGATATCCAATGTCATTTTTATTCACATCGATCATTAAACCTATACGGTTTGTCGTAGCACAGACTTGACGTTTTTTTCGATCCTTCATATCTTAAACCATATTACACAAATTCTAGATAGCTTACAAGAAGATGGTAAATCCGTTGAAATATTCTTAGAAGATGCAAATTCAATAAGACTTTTCAGTAAGTCAAAAGATTGACTAGATTTACTTTCTTGTAGAATGGACCTGTAGAGATGAATGTTAATTCAAATTCTGAACCTTAGGCAAGCAAACAAATTCTGACCACAATATTCCAAGATCCCATTGCACATAGGCGTTGATTTGGCAACAAATGATTTAGATTCGCGTGAATCCCTAAATATTATGAATAAAAGTCATCGATTACCGGAAGTAGCCAATATGGTATTGTTTACTAAAGCATACGATCAGAGTTACAAACTCAGGAGGATCATGATAAAAACGGTAATAATTTGACCATTGCCCTTTTTTGACTGGTTCCTCGGATCCTAAATGAAGTATTTCAAATGGACCAACCAGACGAAGTCCAACATCTGATAGTGCCTCTAAAATAAAGGTGAATGAGACAAATTTGTATTCAAACCAAGTGGCTTGTCGGCACGAAGAGTTTTGCAGAAATCGTAGAACAACAGAAAATCTGTAGAGCACTTGAGATGAAATCCCTCATCAATTAGTGATATACGCTTCTGAATTTCATCAGAAATTGGATAATCAAACATTGAACTTTCTTCTTCAGGAATTTTAACCCTCTTAGAAACTGTAAGGGCTTTTCGTTTTTCATTTATAACATTTGAGCTGCGCTTCCTTGACTTCCCTCCCATATTATGATGTAAAGTCCTTTAAATTGTTTGTCCAGGATAGGGATGAATAATAACAGCTATTAGACAAGTGAACAAATAAATGAATATTCAGTAGTTAAGTCAATTAATTCAAGGATAGAGTAGTGTAAGTAATTCCAAAAAATAATGCAGTGACTACGCAAATTACTTGATGTCATCAGCAGAACTACTCCATAGGATTATTTATTATAGTAATTAGTAAATAAAATAACATCATAGAACGACGGAGGAACCAGTATTGGCAAAGCAACTTAAATCTCGAGTGGCAATCTAGAAAATCACCAGGAAATGTGGTCTAAAGTGACCACAAATCCGAGCAGGTCAATTAGCAAACTCATCTCCAACCTTGAGTTTAAATTTGTTGACTGAAACTTTTTACTGAGATAAATTCCTTCGAAAAATCACTTCAAAGATTTGTCCGTGGAAAATTTAGTATTTATTATTCGGATCAATAGTGACACAATTGATTGCAAACATTTTTTGAAGATTACTGTTTGATTTTACAAAGTCTAATTTTAGTCGTAAGTTTTTCTGTACATCCTTTGATGGGTTTTCAGTGCTGATACTTTTCCCAACTTCTTAGTCAGGGACCTAATTTGCACTTCTTGGTCTATTCCCTAATTTGGCTATCTTATAATTGATACCATTGTCCAACTCATCCTGGAGCCCCTCCGAGTCTACTGCCAGTCCAAAGCCCGGATAAAGATGGAGGGTTGAGATGTGGATTGGTGACTCAATTCCACAAATCTAACCCTCTAAAAAACGCCAACAATAAAAACTAATTCAAGACACATAGACGCTGCTCTGACAGTTAGGAGGTTTTCATTTAGAAGAGTTATGACATCTCATGATAAAAGCCGAGTTCCTTCGGAATTCATGAGGCCGATGCCCCTTCTGAAAACCAGAACCCTTCCATGGTGTGGGCAGCCGGGAAGTGACATTCACCGTCGTACCCATAAAAGCACACGAGACAAAATTTGTCACAACCAAATCCCTATACAATTATGCCGAATACTGTTTACCATCTGCTATCGAGACGCACTAACTATAAAGCAATCGAGAGTGCTCGCTTAAAGATGTCTCAAGTCAAATGAGTTCACGGCCTAATTGTTACAAAGAAAATTGCCAACAGATAGGTATTGTTTGATAGAGTTGAGCAGTATTTTAGGATTATTCATGTGAATTAAGCACTTATTCAGAAGTAATAAAATACGACCGAGGTCTAGCAAGAAGAAATATGAAACTAAACTTGTAGCAAATTGCAAAATGATAGTCATCAAATATGAGGCTCCAATTCTCGGCTCTAACTTTTAACTCAGTACAGTCCCACGTTTTTTTATTATTTCAGAGTTCGTATCGACATGAACTCCTTGAATTAAATAAGTAAAACAAAGGGGGCTCACTATGCTCGAACATATGTTTCCGCTTTAGTTTGGGAAAGACAGGAGGCTGTGTGGCCTGTATTAGTCTCAACACTGTTGATCACAGAGTCGACCTAACATTTTCTTGAATATTTCGAAAGCCACAGGTCTCAGAGATGTACTTGAATCACGATCATCTAACAGGTTGAGAACATGTGGTTCCATATTGGCCATGGTAACCCGAATGTTAACGAAGGGGTTTGAACGAATCGGAAAGAGGCACAAAAATGAAAATGAAACTCAAGAAGCACTGGAAAGCAACATCATAAACGTTTTATACGGCCTTTCTTCGGGATACCAACAAACTCAAGGAATTCAAGATAGTTTTCAACAAGAGGTTACAGGCTTTTCACGACCTACTCAATGGAAAGTAAACTATCACGGAGAACAACTGGAAAGGGATCAAGGAGGAAATCACTGCAATAGATCTGGAGGCTCTGGGTTACATGGAGTACCCTCACAAGGAATGGATCTCTGTTGATACTCTAGTTAAGACTCAAGAAAAGAAGAATAGGAGGGTAGCGATCCACTTCAGCTATACAAGGTTAGCGAAAGTCAATGCAATAGCTGAATACGCAGAACCAAACAAGCAAGTGAAGAGAAACATCAGAGCTGATGAGCAAAAATATATGGAATTGCAAAAACCTACCGTGCGGGAAACCAAACCAGATTCTAAGGAGGAGGAAGGGAGAGGCGGTGTATATGATATACATCGCGAAAAGCACCTAACTCCACCAGAAGACAAGTCTTCACTTGAAATCCCCAAGGTAAAATTAAGCCGAAGACCGAGGAACACAAAACTGGCAGAACTGGAAAGGGAAGCACGGACAGAGTAGACTGGAGAATTCTGGTTGGTGGTCAATGCTCCACTGTGGCTAACAGACGTAAGTAAGTAGGTAAGTATAATCGTATTCCATCAATGACGCTGTAGTACTGTCTCTTCAATTTGAAAGTACCTTCCGCTCTCTTTTACTTTGTAGAAGATGACTAATTTGTCACGGTAATCAGTCTTTCGTTTCAGAAATGCTGTTCTGGTGCTGTACTGGTACTTCCTAAAAGTTCGACAATTTCCTTTTGATGAGTCGTACCCATCGATCAACTTTCACTGGAGTGACAACCATAGCTGTGTTGCGCACATTGAAATCCTGCGTGATTTACGACGACTTGGGTCGTCAGATTGCTTTTTCTGTTACAAAAAGCCTAACGTTTTCTGACTGTCACTATCTACAGGATGGGGTAAGGAAGAAACCTGTTTTCTTGAACTCGTATTCCCAGCAGATATCTCTGGGATCGGTATTTCGCCCTTTGACCCATGTAAGTAACTAGGCCCTGAGTCTGATTAGTGTCTACAGAGAACTGTGTGTCAATAGAGTAGGTATCATTTGAACTCTCTGGACTGCGCTTGCTGATATATAATTTGTTAAACTTTAAAATTTCAATGGCACGAGATAACAAGCTCTTCACGTCTAAGCAACATTGATGAAACAACCACATAAATCCCACCTTGCTTAGTCGTTTGAAAGTTGCAGGTCTTGGATTTATGCAAACTTCTTGGTACTATACTTTTAACTCATCACACTAGTCTACTGCGCATTAGCTTGCTCCCCCCTGCTACATGGGTGCAAAACACGGCCGGTGAGAGAAGAGGATATTAGTATGTAACTGGTTCTCGACCATAGGTACCTTCGAAGCATTGCTACTATATTCTGGGACAACCGAGTAGGCAATGCTATCATTAGGAAACGGTTACTAGATAAGGATGGCATATCCGTAGATGAGGGACTGAAACTTCATCAGTTAAAGTGGTTGGAATATGTGTTGCGTGAGTACGACCACCGACCTCAACGAGCTGTTTTGTGGTGGAGTAGGCTGGCAGAAAGCTAAGAGTGGCCAAACAATAACATGGCACAAATCCATAAAGTCACTGATAAAAGGACTGAACTGGCAATCGCGTCTATGTAGTCTCATTTCCTTCTTCATAAATCCCATTAGCCGTTTAGATTTAGAGGTATTAAAAGGGGCATACTCTTCAAATTTTAAGCTTCCGGAGTACTGAATATCCAGATCAGGCGCTGATATGAGAGTCTGAGCCCTACATTTTTGTAAATAGGGTGGTATTTTCTGATGCATGATGACATATTTGTTGTGGTTAGAAGGTATCTGCCATGTTTCGTTCCAGGTAGATGAGTTGTCAAGGTCAATCTGAATCCTGGATATATCTTCGTACAGATCTTCAGGCTCATAGCTGTATACTATTTCATCCACACATATGTATGGTTTTCCAAGTTTTATAGTACTACATATGTGTTGTTTATGTTCATCAGAAACAACGATGGACCTAATCCACTTCCTGGATAACTCCACTGGTTACTGGTCTTGGTGATGAAAAGCAATCGCTGTACTTTACCATTTGTTAGCGTTCATGTAGGAATAAAACAAACCTCGAATATAGTGGGTTGCTGATTCTGAATGACTTTAGTTCCAGGGAAAGCCTTTTGTGTGTGACCTTATCAAAAGCTCTCATAAAGCTGAAGAATAGGACTGATACTAGAAGCCCTTTGTCTTGTTTTTGAGTGATAAAATTGAGGTAATCTAGCAGCAACGTATCTCATAACCTAGACCTCACGAACCCATGCTTTGAGGTCGATATGAGATTGTTATTAAAGAGATGTAGAATTAACGCTGCCCTCACTACCTTCTCCATCACCCTAGATACTACAGAAGTTATGTTTATGGGTCGGTAATTTTCAACATTCGCCTTAGACCCAGATTTAATTGTGGGGGTTATTTGTGTAGTCTTCCAGTTATCAGGGCTACACTCTGTAAAGAGTGATTTAGAACGTTCGTACATTTTCAAGAAGCGAGATGTCTTCAATTATAAGCACATGAACTCTTACGTATGTAGTAAACTATCTGTCGCCGATATTACGGAATTACTGCTCACAACTGTAAAATTGGATTGTTCTCTACTAATACGAATGTAAGTAACTGTTATGCTTGTCTCCAGGTATGCTTAAACTATTGCGAGTTCACCTTAGTCGAATAACGAGAACGAAAGAATGAACCAGCGTCCAGGTAGGCTACTGTGATCCCTTGACCCAGTTTCACTAGCAAGAAGTCTTGTTGTAGCGTAGAAAGTATATTCTGCAAACACCCAGCAAGCATACAATGAATCCAAGCACTCGAATCGCGTTTATTTATACGCCATAGAGACGTCCTTGGGACAGTCACAAAAATAGCACACTAAAATGACACAGTAACTAACCGATGTCAAAGATTTTCCTGGTGGGAAATGTGATTTCAAAGTCAACTGATCAGTCCATGAAACAAACCCAAAATAAAGATATTTGTCAAGCGAGTTCTGGGTGTCTAACATCCCCAACAGTAACAAATGTCTCCGTGACTGCTGAAATTTCGACAGTAGTGTTTAACTAACATATGCCACATATACGGATCGGGCTCGTTTTTACAGTCATGGTAGCAGCTTTGTATATTCAGAAGTTTTGTAATTAGTTGTCCGAACGTGTCCTGTTTTATCTCCAGCATACTGAATATAATGGTCCTCCGAAGTCATCAATAAGGTCGAGCATTTCGAATTTGTTCCATTTAAAATGGTATACAGTGTGTCATGAGTAAGAGACGGTTTCTTGAAGTGTGCACCAATGTGTTTCTGGTAAAGTATAACCGTCGTTACAAACCGATCTCATTGTGGTTTTGCAGAGAGTGCTGCATCACTTCCCCGGATGAAGCCCTGGAGCTGCTCACTAAGGTGAATTTACTGAGCGACGATATCCACTCAGTTGGTCTAATATCGGATAGTGATGAAATGGTAAACGTTGTCACGAATGTCGTTGCTTCGGTTCTTGTTGTTGATCAAGAGTTTCAGAAACCAATTATAGACTCACTTCAAAAGGAAATACCCATATTCAGGCCATTGTTACAAGTAGTCGCAATTGGTGCTGCACTCTCATGACAAAGAAACCAGCGCTATACACTCAGCACTGTTAGTGAAGTGACTGCAACTGTAGAATGTGCAGAGCGAAAAACACTGTCGTAAAGAGTTTGATAGAAAATGGGATACCGTCCTAATGGGCTTGATTCAATAGGCCCAGAAACTACCTTGAGAATAGAAAGTTTCGCACCAAGGTAAACAGAGTGCACGCGAGTTGGCGAGTATCCACATCGGCAGCTTCACATGGATCATCTTAGGTACATTTCTCTTACTGATATTTATTAACGACCGGTTAGACTCAGTTAGATCACCAGCATTGATCTACGCAGACGATACGAAGATCTGGAGGTCCATTAGAAGCGAAGAGGATTTGGCTGAGCTTTAAAAGGATCTTACATCTGTTGAACAATGAGCAGTGATAAACGGTTTGAAACTCAACCAACCGAAGTGTCACGTCATGTACATTCTGCTACACATGACGCAAACGATTTACATCCCTAGTGAAAGTCCGCTCCCTAGTGTGTCCTCAGAGCGCGACCTCGGTTTAATAACTACAGAAAGCCTCCACACGAGCCCAAAACATATAGGGGATGCAACCAAGGCAAATGCCTCTTCACTTTATGCGAAGACAACTTGGTGCTAACAGCCCATAATTATTCTTGACATTATTTAATACACACGCCGGACACACCTGGAGGTTCACAATGTCATCGCACCTCTGCTTAAAAGAGACATAAATCTATTGGATCGAATGCAGAGACGAGCAGCGAAATGAGTGATAGGGTCGAAGATTAAACCTTATGAAGACAGACTTTAGCACTTGGGATTATTTCCACTGAGTTACAGGAGAATCAGAGGTGATCTGAATATGGCGTACAACATATTAAGCACGCCAAAGCATCCCAACGTCAGCATCTTACCGGTGCATCAACACCACTCCCCTCGAGGCGATCCTCGAAAGATTGCACATAAAAGAGCGAATACGCAGATTCGTGCACACTTTTTCTCATTGCGAGTCGTCGCAACTTGGAATGCTCTCCCAGCCGAGGTAGTTACAGCCCCCTCAGTGGACTGCTTTAAGAAGAGACTTGATAACCACGTACTCACATGCGGACTATCATCTCCCTCTTGGACAAGCTGTGCCTGATGCATATCTTGAGACCTGCTAGTTGTTACCATTGCCATCTCCTCAGATCACTTAATTAATCTATCTCGCCTATTCCTCTCCCTTGCTTACACTTCGGTCCTCTCTCACAATCTTCACTACCAATTAATAAACTAAATTCATCTATATATTACTCAGTTCTGAAATTTTACTCATATTATCATTTTAATTTACCCTTATTACCCTTATTAACCTCCAAATTGCAACTAACTGATCTCCGGTTTGGTAATGTGACGGCTGCTAGTATCCAGAAACCCTACTGCCCTGAAACAAACGTTTCATTCAAATCCCGAGACATACAAACTCACAACCAACTGCCAACTGACTAGAATTAGACAGTCGAGTGGCTAGACCTCCATCCATTGGACATTACCGAACACCTGGAACCGTACCGAAAGAACAAGAATCGAGCGCGAAGAAATCAAATTGGTTTACACTAGTTCGTGAAAAAGATATTGGAGATATTGAAAGGTTTGTGTTGACTGAGAACCAATTTAATGTTTGCGCAACGTTGGATGATACCGATTTTGGTTTCCTTATTCATCCTTTTGAATCCTTTAAAGTCTAGTAGAATTACTGACCAAATTTACAATTATATACCTCTGTCTTATGCATCATTTTGTACTCGAAGACTTAACCTCACAGGACAAGTTGGTTGTTCCAGTGACATCAAAGGAAATTCTGGTGTTGCTTTGTTTATGAATGAGTCACAAGACATTATTCAAAAACTTGAATCAGATACTTCAACTTCTTTCGTGTTGGTTTTGAACGTCAAGCAGTTTGTCAACGCGTCATTAATGCGCTATTTCCGTTCAACAACAAATATTAAAGGTCTTATTGTGTTTACTAACGAGGAAGATAATCTTGATAACTATGAATTTTCTGAATCATCCAAATGTCCAAATAGTTTTTACAGTGCTTACAATGTAACTCAACAGTGTGATTTGGAAACACAATGGAATCCAGCTGGCACTGAGTATTCATATATCAGTTGGCCGTTTCCGATTATTCTGGTTACTGATGTTAACAGAACCATCTGGGTATTGTTAAATTTAATTTCTAACTTGACTCTAGACTTCTATACACGGTTGCTTTTCGGCGTTGAATCGAGAACCTTCTGATGATACGCGATGCTCCATCGAAATTAATAACCCCATGTCAGCTGTTGGGTCCTCTGAAACTTGCTTTCGTCGCCAGTACCTCATGTCACTGCACATTTCTGAGGTATTTATTTATTCAGCGAACCAAATTTTACATACATTTCATTAGTTTTATATCCGTCTTAACATATTATACTTTCAGGATTGGAGTACACAGAATTTCAGTCAGTCGGTTAGCTACAACGTAGAACTTCGTAAATACGTACATCAGTTCAAGTTACCATACCGCATTACAACAGGTTGAATTGTCAATTTAAATTTCATAGTAGTAGAGGTATTAGTTCTATTAGCAGTAATAAAAAAGATAAAGAATGCAAAATATTCGAGAAATATATTCCAGTGAGGAATTCAGATTAGAATTTCATAGGAGGAGAAAATGGGTAGCAAATTCACTAACCTAGTTTAGCAAGTCATCTCAGTAATTTTTTAATTTTGGTATGGATGACATTATTTCTATGTTCTTGGACTAAGTATAATGAAAACGATAGACCACTGTAACAATTTATTTGATGTGAAAAGCTAAAAGTATATTCCTCACTTATGTTATATTATCGAAATTGAAAGGTAACTGTTAGGTTTTTCCCTTAACTCTTGATATTTCAGAATTCGGAGATATTCTGTGAGGAATTGACTGGGCTAAACATTATTTTATCTGCAACTGATTCTGGAAACCACTCATGGAATAATAATGCTCTCAACACCAATAATCGTCGGCCTGAGAATTCTTCAGTATTTGTTCTTACTCGGATGGATTCTCGAAGCATTTTCGAACGAAGTGCGTTTTCAAGTCAAGGTGTCCTTCCTAGTATAGCTGTCCTTATTTCTGTTGCCGTACACTTGAATACCTTAGAAGTTAGTTTGTAATATTATTTTGATTAAGATATGGCATTTTCGGCAACATCTTTATTTCTGCTTGTACTTTATCGGTTATTCTTATCTAAGTTCGTGCTTTCAAATCAAGTTTTCCATCGTTAATCTCACTGTTCATTTAACATTGCACAACCAGTAACTAGTTTTTGCGTAATACAGTACCATGGAATGGTAATGTAGTAGCTGTATCACTGGACTGTCAGAGTTTCACGTATAAGTACTCCTTTATCTACAGCATTATCGATATCTAGTCATGTTTTATAGCTCTCGCACCATAAATAATATTCTGAGCTGATAACTCACTTTTAATTAATCAGTTGCACTGTCATTACAGCGATGACTGAATCTTAATTGTTGTCTTTTTGCTAGGACATGGATTTTATTTGGTTCTTAATGTTCTTCCCTATTTCCTGCACTTTGCCAACATTTTTATCTCTTGCACTCCACAGTTATAACATTTGATTCTTAACTGGAAAGAGAAAATACTTGCTCATGATTAGAAACGAAATGATAAAGAACTCGTTTTCGAAATATTATCATGGCCAGTAAGAGTAGAGGATATTCGTTGGCTATTAGTATTCGGTCATAGGCGTCTTCGAATTATCGCTCGTATATCCTGGGGCAATCAAGTACGCAAAGCCGTTATTAGGAAAAAGGTTTCAGTTAGTGATAGAATGTCAATTGACTGAGAAGTGAATCTGTGTCAGCGTAAGCGGTTGTGACGTGTATTATGAGTGCCCAACTACCGACTGCCTCGGCGAGCGACGATACCTGGTGCAGGGGTAGGTTGGAAGGAAGCTAGGGGCGGCCAAACCAAAACGTGGCACAAATTCATGAAGTCGCTGATATCTGGACTGAGCCATGTTGGTAGGTGTAGACTACCAGGTTGAGGGCCGTGAGATGATAGTAACCACCGATTGTTAGAGACCTTGAACGACATGGCTCGGAATCGTTTGCAATGGCGCAAGTGCATCCGTTATTTGTTCTCTTTCCTTGCTCCACGTAAAATAACATTTTGTCGAGATCATTGGGTTATTTATTGAATAACTTGGCTTTTGAAAAGTCAGTCAGTTACAACGTAGAACTTCGAACGTAAGTACATCGGTTCATGTTGCTATACCACATCAGCACAGAGATATAATTGTCAATTCAAATCCAATAGTAGTAGAGGTAGTAAAGGTGTTAGAAGTAGTCGGAGAGGTTAGGATTATAAGATATTATTCAACAAGTATGATTCAGTGAAAAAAGTTTAGAAACTCAAGACTAAAGGGGTTGAAGAATCCAGAAGATTAGGATTTGAGAGAATACAAAGAATAAATGCACCGGTGCCATTGCGAACGGTTTTGAGCCATGTCATTCATGGTCTCTAACCATCGATTATTATCATCCCGCGGACCCCAACCAGGTAGTCGACAACTACCGACATGGCTAAGTCCACTCGTCAATGACTTCATGGATTTCTGCCATGTTTTGGTTTGGCCCCCTTAGCTTTCTTCCAACCTATTCCTACACTGCAAAACAAAGCTCTTCGACGCAGTCGGTGGTTAGGCATACGCAACACGTGTCCCAACCACCTCAACTGATGAAGTTTCAATACTTCATCTATTGATCTGCCATTCCCACCTAGCACCCGTTTCCTAATAACAGCGTTGCTCACTCGGGTGTCCCAGGATATACAAGCAATGCTTCGAAGACACCTATCGAAAACCAATAACCTACGAATATCTTCTACTCTCACTGGCCATGTTTCACAGCCATGAAGTAAGACGGAGTGAACCACTGCGCAGTACCCTCGTCCTTTGGTTGGCAGACCAATATCTCGCCTACGCCATAAGTGACGCAGGTTGGCGAAAGCCAATCGAACCTTCTGTATCCGTGCTGAGATTTCGTCAGTCACCAGGCAATCAGCACTGATGAGACTCCCAAGATAAGTGAAGCCGTCAACACGCACGACTACTTCACTCCCTATCACTAGTTCAGGTGCCGATGCAACCCAATCTTGAAGCAACATTTTACATTTTGAGGGGGAAAACCGCATCCCGAATATGCTTGCATTGTTGATTAGGGTAGTCAGAAGACTCTATTTTGTCAGCGTCTTCATCAAGTAGGACTATGTCATCGGCGTATTCTAATTCAATAAGCGAGCCATCTGGTAGAAAGTCTACTCCTGAAAATTCAGACGAGGATAAGGTTATTTCTAGGAGCATGTCTATGATAAAATTAAAAAAGAATGGAGACAGTGCAGATCCCTGACGGACACCACTTGAAGTAATAAATTCGGAAGACAGTTCACCATAAGGTTTAAATCAACCAGTAGTTTTAGAGTAGAGAGCTTGTATAAGGTTAATGTACTTGTTTGGTACACCTTTCAATGACAGACACTGCCACAGAACCTCACGATCCACAGAGTCAAATTCCGCTTTTAGGTCTAGGAAGACAACTATTGTCGAATTCCTAAATGTGTGTCTGTGTTCCATTACCTGTCTTAGTATGAAGATGTGGTCTATACACCCACGTCCAGGTCTGAAACCAACCTGGTTTTCTCTAGTCTGCTCTTCACGAGCACTAGTTATGCGTCTAAGTATAATCGAGGCTTACAATTTAGAAACTATATTAGTTAGACTGATTCCCCTGTGATTGTCACAAGAAGACTTGTGTCCTTTCTTATAGATTGGGACAATCAGTGATTGAGACCACTCGGATGGGATTACGTCCAGTTCCCAGATTCTATCTAAGATCTCAGTCAACCTAGCTGCTAAAACTGGACCACCATCCTTAAATATCTCAGGCGTCAGTCTTTCAGGACCTGCAGCTCGCCTTCGCTTCAGATTTCCTAACGCTTTTTCAACTTCATAAAGAGTCGGGGAGCTTACGTCGATTTGCCATTCAGGATGACTGAAGATCGTGGGTAACCTAATTCCTAATACCCAGTTTCCTTGATGAGTCTAAATAGTTGCCTACTGTTGCTTATCGCTGCTGCCTTTTCCATCGCTTTTGCTTTCGCCACCCACCACTATTCTCGGTCGTTACGTAGGCTTTTTATCAGCCTACGTCTAAGCTGACTCCGCTCCTCATCGCACTCAGAGCCAGGCGGGATGAGTTTTCGAGCATCCATCAGTTCGGTAGATGCTATTGAGATCCACGGCTTCATCCTAGCCTTATGGTTTACCTTACTAGCAGATATCACTGCTGTTTCCACAGCCTTTTTGATATCATACCAACCTGCTTCCGGATTGGAATCGCTTACATGGGGCTGCTTAACTCTCTTTCTAGTTGCTCCTGAAATATGTTCCTAGCTTTATTATCATTAAGTAAAACCCTAAGAGGCTTCCTTACGGTGTCTTCCCTACGTCCAGTAAGCCTCAAACAAATACGCGCTCGCACTAGGGCATGATCTGAATCTAAACATGTGTCTCGGAACAAGCGGCATTCCTCTATCGAACCCCTCCATCGGTGGCGATGTAATCTAGTTGGGTCCAACGTTGAGTCGGCTTTGGGGGTCGCCAGGTTAGGAGATGTTTTTCCTTATGCCTAAAGGTAGTGTTCGCTAAGAATAGGCGGTTATCTGAGCATAGTTGCAACAGACGGTCACCATTGTCTGTTCTCTGAGCCGCGATACAATAACATCCACCAAGGTGTCTCTCCTTCTCACTTAGTCAACCTACTTGAGCATTAAAGTCACCAGCCATTATTATTATATTAGAGCGCCTAACATTTTGGAGGAGGTCCGAAAGCTTTCTGTGGAACTCATCTTTCACCTCGTCTGCACTGCAGTCAGTGGGGGCATAGGCAGATACGACGAAGAGGCAACGACGGGTATCCCCATCTTTCCGAGTCCTTACTGTTCCGTTTAGTCGGACAGCGCACAAGCGACTATCTACTGGGATCCAGTATAGGAGCGCTAGTTCAGCCCTACGACTCTATGCTGTACCTACACCAGCGAGACCCCGGGAAGCAGCATCAGAGCTACCGGATACACGAAGAGTTAATCGAGTTGCTTCTTTGTTTTGACAAGGCGAAATTAGATTAATGACTACTAGGATCCTGTATGCGCGTTTCCGAGACGCAGCACACATCGATGGCACGAGATTCTAAAGTCCTAGCTAATGGTGCCTGTTGCCCTATTTGGCACAATTTCCGTACATTTAAAGCTCCAACATGTAGTCTAGAACGGGGTTTCAAGAGACCAGGAATGACGTTTAGTGAACTCGCATCGTTTGCATTAGCTGTGCAGTGTGATAAGGGAATGTGAGAAGAGTTAGTCGTGGAAATAAGAGAGGTATTAGGGGGTGTAGGAAGGATTTGATTGTGACCGATTCGGTCTCGTGTGCTGTCACGGGTATGAGGGCGGTTGTCACTTCCCGGCTGCCCACACCGTGGAAGGTTGTTTCTTGAGGAACCTGAAAAGGAAAGTAGATTAGTGTCGGTCTTTGAGACCTGAGAACGTGACCACAGAGCCCAAATGACAACTTCTTGAGGCCGATCACGCACGGCCTTTTCATGAAAGGTTTTTTGAGTATTAGCTCCGCTGTTAAAAGCCCTTAGTGGACACCCTTACCGAAGAAGACGGAAATCCGTTAGGTAAGGTGAGGTATGACACTTTTAGGGTCGACCTTTTCTAACCCTTCCTTCCTTGTGAGAAGGCAGCACCATTGCATATGCTGGTTGTCTGAGGGGGACACGTTACTGCTGTCACACTCCTCTGCAGTCAGCAGTACGACTTCTCCCTAAGACCTTGAGTAGTTGCTTTTAGTCTTATCGTTCTCCGACCGACCTGCCTGACATGGTAGAACCTTCAGGAACATATGTTCCAGCCAATATAGCTTGGTTGGGTCATCACGCAAGGCCAGCCCGACCACCATATCAAAGTAACAGCTACGGTCGGTCGCATTTTAAATTTTTATGTCTCTTACCTACATACTTACTCTAGTTACCTCACTGAATCTCTCTAAAAATATATGGAACATAATTTCAGAAACCTAAGTAAGGTTGCACGATGGTTGAAAAGTAAAAAATAAGATGAAACATAATGTGTGAAAGAAAATTATCCATTTAGGCAGTATGAGAAACATGTAGATTAGATTAAATACATGAAAGTGATAATAGATAACTACAGATGTCTAACATTTTTGAAGATCATCTTTCATAGTTAGTCAACTATAAGCATTGTGGAGCATCGAATGAATAATAGTCACACCTGCTGGTATATTCCATAATTGGTAACTAACACGTCAAACATTTTTCAAGTCTTTCGTTATCCTACCCGAATCGCTTAATATCCTTTGTATTACTTTACTCAATCAGTCCTCCAAGATCAGAGCACGACTTGAAAAGGTACGTAATCATACTCCAAGTAAACGAAGTTGAATTGGAGTATATCCCAGTTGAAAGAACATGAATGTAGTTACAATATCACATGAGAACACTCTAGAGTCTACCCCAGTTACCCGTTAACGCTGATTGGTCAAGAACGGACCAGTCGACATATTCCAACATAATCCTGCATAAAACATGCCTAAATCCGATCTACAACCTGCTAACACTGACAGATGTGTTCCATAAAGTCTTAGTTGCGATGACTTAAAATGTAGCTTTACTAGTACAACTACTCAATTGTGGACTGACCTCGCACAATATATTTTTAACAAAAAGGTACACATGTATTTTCATTTTACTTATCAGTAATACCAGACGATGATTATTTCATTATTGAGATTATTCTATGAGTTATCAGTAACTAAATTCATCAAGTTTGTTAGAGAACTGTAATATGTCAAAATGAATTATTTATCAAAAGTTTAGCGTTCTTGTAGCTACTGGTTTATCAAATATTCTTCAATAATTGCTCATGTTTATTTTGATTTTGTAGTTTTACTTACTGCTCTAAAGTGTAATTATCTTTGTCTTCAATCTCATTCGATATCACTTCAAACTGAAATACCATTTTCAATATAATATATTAAATATTTTATGCTAAACAATTTCAATATTATTAGTATATAATATTGAATTTTAAAAACATCTCATCGTTAATAAAACTTTAGATCTTGTCATTTCTCAGTAACATTGTGACCTTGTATTATTTTCTTAGTTGTCGTTTTTTCTCGGAACATTAGAAATTTTTTGTGGTTAGTTAATCCATACCAAAAATTCTTAATTTTTTTGTGCGTTATATATATATATATATATATATATATCGGTTTTGTGCGTTTTACTAAGTTTACGGCAAACCTGAGCATCTGGAATGTCTGTGTATGTTTGTAACATAATGCTAGACTGATTTTATATCATGAATATAATACTTAGTTTTCATTTTGACCGAGATCCAATAGGAATGATTACATAATAATACTGTGTTAATAAGTGTATTGATCCATATTTATTTCTGGAATTTCTATTCATGTATACCTAATAATATCTTAGTCTTTGAAGTAACAGTCATCGACAGTAATATGTATGGCCAGTCAGTTCGCTGCCAGTAATTTTGTACGAGCTTCTGGTATCTTGAAATATGCTGAAGTTGAAAGTTTTCATGATAGTTCATTATCAGTGTCCTCCTGATTAACAAAATAGTGCGTTAAAAAGTGAAAGTTAATTATCATCTTCTAGTATAAACTTGAAATTTGCTAATTTGTTTTCTTTTCATGGATAGGATTCTCGGTTTGAAAAAGATTTACTTTTCAGCTTTCTGGATAATGAGGCTTATGATTTTATGGGTTCATCTAGATTTTCGTACGATTTATCTTCTGGAAATATTGCTCGTTATACCGGATATCCAGTGATTTGGGATAATGTGTATGCTATCATAGAGTTAGGTGAAATTGGATTGTCACGAAAGCAGAATAATCTCCCTATGTTTTTCATGTTAACGGATGATAAAACTTACAACGTGGTTAGTATTTCTATCAATTTCACTCTTATTTAATGCATATTTTTCAGAGTAATTAACATGTTTGGTTTAATTTGGTGGGTAACAATTTTCTCCAGTTTTCTAGGAAATTATTCTGATTTCTTTAAGTTAATCTTTCTTTATCAAATGATGCGTTATTTTTATCCTTAGTCCCCTACTTATTTACTAACAAGTAGTATAAATTGTTTAGGCTAATGAAGTAATTAGTGTACTCTTTATGAATAGACAATTTACTGTTTCCATATTTGAAGGAATTATATATACTCCAGAGTTCTTCTTATCTATCGCTTCACTGGACTTGAATTCATATTCAGCCCTGTGATCTATGCTGCCTATTCCGTAGTTCATGCATATTGTCAAATCAGTCTTTGACACCTAAGCCTAATATAAATATTTCCCCTATTGCTAATATTCTTTAGTTTCATTGATTAACTGTCTTAAATTTAAACGTTAATAGCAGACGAAGGAAGGTATTCATAATGTATCTTAAAGTGGTTTCTTGTAGAATCATTAATAATAACTAAGGCATAGATATGTTTAACAAAGGTAGTCAACTGAATAGTTTTACTACGTTATATTTTTAGTAAATCCGTGTTGAATATTATACTCGGAGAGCTGAGGATTACTTTCAATACCGTATAAATAGAGGTTAAATGTGAAAAGTATTTAATAAATCGAGATTAAAGGATTGGAAAATTTATTGGTTTTTTTTCATATGAAGCCTAATCAAATTTTATTCAAATGGAAAAAATCTATCCACTTGATGAATATTGTTTGATTGCATCAGTTGAAAGAGGAATTTCTAGTCTACAGTTCATAACGTTATCTTAGTTTACATTATACACTTTTACTTCTTAGCTGCGATATTTTGTTTTCTAATCAGATGTCACAAAACAGGTGTAAAGTTTCACGAACATACATAGTGAAAAGAATATTGATCCTTTGAACAGTGATGCTTTATGTCATCCAACAGGGTTTAACTGCTATTATGCTCTTTTAATCTCGATGTTGTTTGAATAGTCAATCAAATCTATCAAATAGTTCTTTTCTAAACAAATTGAAATTATTTTACACTACATTTGTCATTAAATAGTTGGCGATATACCATTCGAAAACATGAATATGCATCATCGTAAATAGTTCTAGTGTATGTAAATAAATTTCTAAAAATACGATGTGGTTAATTTTTGAAGGACAAATGAAATAATGTAAAAAAAAGATACTGTCTAATTGATTGTATATCACTTTTGAATAGATTAACAATTAATGAGCAAACCAATACACAACATATTTGATGGTCATGTGTTTACATCAATCTTGTATACAGCCATGTTCAACGAATTGCGAGGTTTCTAAAATGTTGTATCGGCAACTTGAATTCATCAAACAGTCTTTGTAATAAAATCAATCCTCTTTTTGAATAGATATTATTCTATACTTCAGAACTTTCTTTAAACAATATATATATATATATAGTCTTCAAAATAAACTCCTTGCGTCTTGGTTACCTCATTTCCGTTAAATTATCGATAGTTTTCATCTGCAATTCTGAGGATGTGTTAAACAATGCTAGCTAAAAAAGCGAAATCGCAGTCGGTGTATCCAAATACACAAAAAACATTAAGTCTCATGAACGAACTGTAAAGTATTAATTCTCTGTACATTTCTTCCAATGTATAGACTCAAAATTCTACTGACAATATTTTCAATCACCTAAATGCTGCCAGTAAAACCAACCAAAAGGTCGATTTACAAAGACCACTAAATAAATTACAACAGTTACCATTACCTCCAACATCATCAATGCAAACTCTTCTCCGAAATTCTCCTCGTCCCCTTCCTCATGTAGTGTTAAGTGATCATGACGCTCCACCCTTCCGCAATAAACATTTTGAAAGTTTTCTTGATATTAAATGGCCTCCATCGGACAATCCTGCTGCAGATACAATCCTTCTTGATTTTGCCAACACCCTAGCAGATGCTTTACACAGAGTAAGTTATTAACTAGCTTGATAATATTTTAATTTGTTTTTCACTAAAGTCTTAAAAATTTTAATGCTTGCTGTTTGTTTTAAAATTAAATATTTACTTGAAAACTTAAAGATTGAATTTACAAACTTCTTTGGTAAAAATTCTGTAATATGTTCTTAGCGAGAAGTAACCGGAGAATAATGCGAAAATCTGCTTTTCTTACATTTTACTAGCGTTCTCATAAATTTAACCGAGACCTTCATATATGACTTGTAGGTCACTGTTTAATGGTAGCACTCTCTTATCGTCAACTTTTTACCATAAAATACGAAAAAGTACCTCATTCCTCATTACCAGTTGTTTGATCTACGGTCAAGCTCTTCTTGGAATTATATCAAAAATTACTCTTACTTTATACAGTACTTTATAAACTCATTATGTCACTCATATTTAACTAACGACCAGGTGCTTCTGTAGTGATTCTATCCATACTTTATGTGAAAATGAAGTCAATTAGGTGAATAAATGTCGTACTAAGATATTTTAGTTTTAAAATGAGTTTAACTTTGATTCTATTAGTAGTTCATGATCTGTGTACATAGAATCGAACTCACTAACTGTTTATAAATCTAAACGTTAGACTACAAGTAACATTTATGGTTTAAAATTTAATGGTACTAATTAGTTTCCCGAAGCTAAAAGTAAACTGGTATCCAAAATTGTCAGCCACTAATGAAGTTTAGGTATGATAGGTACAACTGAACACGGTGCATTTGACTTGTTAATATCACATTATAGAAGTCTTTACATTCTTAGTTCAAAGATTTTACGAGCGCGTAGAGTTTTCTGCTTTCTCATAATCGTTCTGGTAGTATTTTAAGAATTGTTTTAATTCATACATATGGTTTTGTAATGACATACACAACTATTCAAAAATTCTTTTTTTCTAGATAGTTTCTGTAAATCATGCACCTATTCCCTCCAACATTTCTAATCCAAAACCCAGTGACATTATGGAATGCTTTTCAACTAATCCGGGATGTGATCTTTTCAAAATGGTAATATTTCTGTGTATAGTTTGAATAGCTTTGTTGTGTTTACATTGTTCTCGAGTAGCTTTTAACTTGACTGGTTAATGTAGGGTTGTGGAGATAGTTGAGTTTATTCGAAATCATGAACTGATCATTACCAGGCCACCGTTGAAAACTTAGAAGCACGGGGCGGCCGCTTCATCCTAGTGTGGGGCTCATCAGCAGTGCTCATCCACCACCTAAGTGGAAATCGAACCCAGGAACAGCCCCTAGCTTCGTGACCACTTGACTGGCATCCAATATCGAGGATTAATCCAAGTTAGACATTAACATCTCTGGATGCTGGCTCAGTGGTTGCGAGGCTAAGCGTCGGCGTGAGGAACCAAACATTTCGGGTTCGACTCCTACTCGCAAGGTGGTGGATACGCACTGTTGATGAGTCCCATAATAGAATTAAACGATTGTCCAGTACTTCAAGTTATCATCGTTAAAGTGTATAACGATTTTGATTACCATTGATTGGGAAATTGAAAGTTGGCTCTTTGTTTATGACAAAGTCATGCTACTTAAAAGAGAAGAATATGAATATCACAAGACATGAAAACTGACTCTGCTTTGTTGTGTTAAGTGATAAAGCTACAAGTATGAATGCACTGAACTCAGTACGCTCAGATTTTGCTACTATTTACAACTGAAAAGCTCACTTTATGTTATCTATCAAATAAATACTTAAGATTTGATGCTCAAATTGTTCACCCATGTAGGTTTTCATGCTACTTCTTATTTCTGCTTATGTTACGCTAGCATACAACTATAGTTTTGCCAAGATGATGTAATGAGAAAATAGATCTATTCAGTTATATTAGTTAGTGTGAATCACATCCAATTTTTTTAAATTTATTATTCAATTAGTTACTTCGTGACCAGAATTTCCGAATCTTATCCACTCAGTTTTATACGTTGTACAGCTTTATATAGGTGAATTCTTAGGAGAATACATGATTAAGCACTTTTCCTTCATCTTGAGATATCACTTTTTTCTTTTGGGTGATCCACATTTTACAAACTTTCAATTTCTTCGTAAGTAGTAGTTCTAACAAAAAGCAGTTATAATAATGACCAACAACAATTATTACGGAGTTTGGCATATTTTTTATTTTACTTAACAACATATTTTGCATGCAAAAACCTTGAAGTACCTTCAGGCTTAATTTTCGACAAGCAGAACCATCAAATTAACCACACACTAAGTAATAAAAATCTCCGTTCCTTACTTATTCATTGAAAACCACTTAACATGAAGTCCTAAAAAGTAAACCAGTGGTTTCAGAATCTGCCTATTATAGGCAATCAATTGATGAAGTAGTGAATCTTCATCGACTAAGATGATTAGAACATGTATTACGCATGCCCATCTACCGACCACCTCGACGAACAATACTGATGTAGTGTAATGCACAAAAACAGAAAGACCAGATGGAATAAGCGATCTATTTGAAGAAGATACAATGAACTAGACGAATTGAGGACATGTCGCTTTCAAGCATTCATCTGCAAAACAAGAGTATTCTTGGCTGTCTTCTGTCACGTCTTTTATTCATCAAGGTACACAGATCACACCACAAATCCGTATCCGACACTTTTTGCTTCGGACTTAACTTCAGGGCGACATTCAGTTCATATTACTCATAAGCTCCGTCGTGAGTAGTACGCACCACTCTCATGTGGCCCAAAACTTTGACATGTAAAAGTTATTGCTTTGTTGATTCCTTTCCAGTTCTTCATGATAGTTTCCTCTTCGTTGAGTAGATTGTGAAATGCTGGGAACTAATTTTCGAAGGCTATCTTGAATTCGTTGAGTTTGCCAGTATCCCGAAGAAAGGCCTTATTAAACTTTAGTAATGCTGTTCGCCCAATTGTTGAGTGCTTCCTGAGTTTCGGTTTAATCTTGGCCACCACCAAATAATGATCTGAAGCCATGTCAGCTCCTCTCCTTGTTTTTACGGCCTTCACGATCTTTCTGAACCCTTTGTTAATGCAGATATGGTCAATTAGGTACTGTGTAGTGTGATCCGGTAAAGTCCACGTGGCTTTGTGTGGGAATATGGTTCCATCTAAAAAACATTTTGTTGAAGTCGCATGTTTGCGAATCTCACCATTTTTGTCCCTTTTTCCCACTCCATGTCGTCCCATAATGCCTTTGTACCCAATGTTGTCCATCCCCGCTCTGAAATTTCTTCCTATCATATCTGCTAACTACGGTAATCATATCACACCATTATCTGGGTTAAAATGACTACATTAGTGATTTCTAGATAAAAGACTACTGTTGAATAAGTTTGTAGAAAGCTTCTTTTGATTGTATTCCCTTTCTAATTAAATTTTCTTATTTACATTGGTGAGTAATTTTAGCTTGAACCCATTTTCACTGGGTTTTCCCACCTACTGAATTTCTTTCCTTTCACCAGTATGTTTCTAACTGACCAAACGTTTTTTTACAGTTCCTCAGTCCTGTGGATTACAAATACGTACAAATGCTAAAAACGCCTGTACCAGCACAGACCTACCTGCCATTTGACCGGCATGAAATAAAAATATCACATCTAGTCAGTATTTTGTTAATGGGACTAACTGGAAAACGAACTTTGACTCCAGCATGTCCACCAGTTAATGAACGGGGTCCTTATACATATTGGATGGGATGTAAGTGGATGATTTTGCCTCATTGTTTAGTACTTACTACTGTGTAAATATAGTTCGTATCCAAAATGTAAAATGAGGACATTAAAACTAAAAGTCGTTTTAGCTATTTTATCATACTCAAGAACTAGGTTCACATGTACGTGATAAGCATTATCTAATTAAATTCTTATTCTTACTCATATTTATATTGAAGTTGTATAGAATCAACCGTTAATTGTTAATTAAAGCCATGATGTCCCGTCATATGTTTTGCTGTAATACATTTCCGATGTCTTGAGCTACTAACAATTTTCCTGTTAATTGAGGGGAAAGAAATTGGATATTAAGCACTAGATATAGTCCTGTTTTCACTTAGTTCACTCCATCACTTTCCATAAACATTAGAACTGGTAAAAAGGACGCCTATCGCACATATTTTGGTTATGTAATCTGTTTACTCAAACATAGTTACAATCGTTCTCTCGTAATTCCACTTCTTTCTTTTTAAAAAAAAACAGATTTCAACGGTTCTGAACAGTGTTATTTCACACGAATGGATATAATATCACGCTTTCTGTTGATGGAAGACGAAAAACTCAAAGCCCCTGCCTGGGCTCGTAGTCGCGAACATTCTGGGAGGTTTGTGCGCTGGTATCGTGGGTCATCTCCAACAGTTGATGGGATTAGTGTTGTATTAGGTATTTTACTTATTACTCTCACACTTCTAATATCCCTATACATCAAGGAGGTCGTTAACAACACAATAATACAAAAACCGGCGCAAATTGAAATTTTATATACATCTGAAGACCAAAATCGTTTCATACCTACATAAAATTTCTGTTCTTTGCAAAAAATTGTACATACAGAAAATATTCTTCTAGACAAATTTCACTTTTTTTGCAGCATTTGATGGGTGCAGAGAACTTCTTTCTTGCGCAATCTTCTGAGCTTTTTCAACTAGAGTAGTCAATTGACCATTTTCACCGAGCACTTTGAGAAGCTCTATTATAAGTGGCAAGTAGTTATGTCGACGACGAATGTTTTCTGCGCGATATGCTGCAATTTTCTTCTTTTCACTCGCGATATTATTTGTTAGTTCTTTTATGTAGGCAGTTGCTGACTAAAAGGAAAGAATAAATAGGATATAACTAAGTATTACATTGCACAGAGTTAAAATGTACAAAATACATATTGCATTCACGGTCCAGTGTGGTTGTGGGGCTTTCATCGTTTTTATGAACAACATCGCCAGCAGGTAGAAGTGAAGTATTCGAATCTCTGCACATATGACTCGTAGATTGTCCTGGTGACCTCGAACTTGATTGCCTGTTATTGACCATTAATCCTTCTCGTTATTTTGATTGTACCAGTTGAGGTAGTTGAGACATGTGCCACCGACTACCTCGAAGAGCAATGTTGCCTGATGTAGGAATAGGCTAAAAGATATCTAAGTGCGACCGAACCAAAACATAGTACAAACCCATGGCGTCACTGACAACTGGACTGAGCCATGTTAGTAGATGCAGGCTACCTTGCTGGGGTCCGCAAGACAACAATGACCGATGATTAGAGACCTAAAATGACATGGCTTAAAATCGTTTGCAGTGATGCAGATGCATCTACTCTTTGTGTTCTCTCAAATTTCGAATCCATTAATTCCTCATGACCTCCATCTGTTTCTTCTCAAAGTTATTTCACTGGATTACCCTTCTTTGATATTATCTTCAAACACTGGTTTTCCCTACTATGGAATTGACAATTCCACCTCCGTGGTAATATGGTATGGCGACTTGGACAGATGTACATACGTACCACGTTCTACGTTGTAGCTGACATCATCAACAACAACGTAGAATTTTGCACGTAAGTACAGCAGTTTAAGTTGCCTTACCACATTAGCACAGAGACGCCAATGTCAACTCAAATAACATAGTAGTAGACGTATTAGAAGTAATCGGAGAGATTAGGGTTCGAAGATGTTACTCAAGAAGTATAATTCAGAAGGTTAGAATTTCATAGAACACAAAGAGTAAATGCACCTGCGCCTTTGCAAACGATTTTGAGCCATGTCATTCAGGGTCTCTAACCATCGATTATTATCATCTCGCGGACCCCAGCTAGGTAGTAGACACCTACAAACAAGACTCAGTCCACTTGTCGGTGACTTCATGGATTTCTGCCATGTTTTGGTCTGGCCGCCCCAAACCTTCGTCCAACCTATTCCTATATCGCAAAATATAGCTCAACGGGGCAGTCGGTGGTTAGGCATACGCAGCACATGTCCCAACCACCTCAACTGACGAAGTTTCATTACTTCATCTATTGACCTGTCATCCCTATCTAGCGTTCGTTTCCTAACAACAGCATTGCTTACTCGGTTATCCCACGATACTCGAGCGATGCTTCGGAGACACCTTTGACCGAAAACAAGCAACCAACGAATATCTTATACTCTAACCCGCCATGTTTCGCAGCCATAGGTAGGACGGAGCGGACTACTGCGCAGTACACTCGTTCTTTAGTCAGCAAACGGATATCTCGCCTTCGCCATACGTGACGCAGGTTGGCAAAAGCCAGTCGAGCCTTCTGGATCCGTGCTGAGATTTCGTCAGTCACCAGCCCATCGACACTGATGAGAATCCCGAGATAAGTGAAGCGGTCAACACGCTCGACTACTTCACTCCCTATCACTAGTTCAGGTGCCGATGCGAGCCAATCCTGAAGCAACATTTTACATTTTGAGGGGCGAAACCGCATCCGTAACATGCTTGCATTGTTGCTTAGGGTAGTCAGAAGACTGCATTTTGTCAGCGTCTTCACGGAATAGAACTATGTCATCGGCATATTCTAGGTCAGTAAGCGAGCCTCCTGGTAGAAGGTACAATCCTGAAAGGTTAAATGGAGATAATGATATATATAGTAGCAAGTCTATGACCAAGATAAATAAGAATGGGGAGAGTGGATATCCTTGACGGACACCATTTGAAGTAATAAATTCCGAAGACAATTCACCATAAGATCTAAATCAACCAGTAGTTTTAGAGTAGAGAGCTTGTATAAGGTTAATGTACTTGTTTGGTACACCTTTCAATGACAGACACTGCCACAGAACCTCACGATCCACAAAGTTGAATGGCGACTTGAGGTCCAGGAAGACAACTATTGTAGGACGCCTAAATGTGTGTCTGTGTTCCAGGACCTGTCGTAGTGTGAAGATGTGGTTTATACAGCCGCGTCCAGGTCTAAAACCAACCTGGTTTTCTCTAGTCTGCTCTTCACGAGCACTAGTTATGCGTCTAAGTATAATCGAGGCTTACAATTTAGAAACTATATTAGTTAAACTCATTCCCCTGTGATTGTCACAAGAAGAATTTTGTCCTTTCTTGTAAATTGGGACATCAGGGATTGAGACCAGTCTGATAGGAATACCTCCAGTTCTAGAATTCTACCTAAGATCTCAGTCAATCTAACTGCTAAAACTAGACTACTATCCCTGAAAATCTGAGGGGTCAATCTATCAGGACGCGCTGCTCTCCCTCACTTCAGGTTTCCTATCGCTTTCTCAACTTCATCAAGACTAGGAGGACTGAAACTGACTTGCCATTCAAGATGACTGGAGATCGTGGACAACCGAAGTGTGGCTGAAGGCCAGTTGAACTGATCCCTAAAGTGTTCTGCCCATCGGTCCAATCTCCTGGGTTGAGAATAATTAACAGTCTCATCCTTTTCCGAAATAGTTTCGCTAACAGATGGATTTCTAATACAGGTTTCCCTGATTAGGAGGAACAGTTGTCTACTGTTACGTATCATCGCTGCCCTCTCCATCTCTTGCTTTCACTACCCACCACTGTTCTCGATCATTGTGAATACTGTTTATCAGCCTGCGCCTGAGCTGACTCCGCTCCTCATCGTCCTCAGAGCCAGACGGGCAGAGCTTTCGAGCATCAAGCAGTTCCGTAGATGCTACTGAAATCCACGGCTGCTCCCTAACCTTATGGTTTACCTTAATAGAAGATATCACTGCTGTTTCCACAGACTTTTTGATACGATTTCAAGCTGCCTCAGGATGGGCATCACTTACTACATGGCTGCCCAACTGTTTTTCCAGTTGTTCCTGGAATATATTCTTAGCCTTATTATCATTAAATAGAGCCCTAAGAGGTTTTCTTGCGTCCAGTAAGGTGCAAACAAATACGCGCTCTCACTAGAGCATGGTCTGAGTCAAAACAAGTGGTCCAGAATGAGCGGCGGTCTTCAACAGAGCCTCTCCACCGGTGGCTGATGGCAATGTGATCTAGTTGGATCCAACGTTGAGACGACTTCGGGGGTCGCCAGGTCAGAAGATGTTTTTCCTTATGCTCAAAATTAGTGTTCGCTAGGAATAGATGGTTATCTGAGCATAGTTGCAACAGACGGTCACCATTGTCTGTTCTCTGAGCCGCGATACCATAACATCCACCAAGGTGTCTCTCCTCACTTAGTCTACCTACTTGAGCATTAAAGTCACCAGCCATTATTACTACATCAGAGCGCCTAACATTTTGGAGGAGGTCCGAAAGCTTTCTGTAGAACTCATCTTTCACCTCGTCTGAACTGCAGTCAGTGGGGGCATAGACAGATACGACGAAGAGGCAACGACGGGTGTCCCTATCTTTCCGAGTCCTTACTGTCCCGTTTAGTGGGACAGCGCACAAGCGACTGTCTACTGGGATCCAGTATAGGAGCGCTAGTTCAGCCCTACGACTCTATGCTGTACCTACACCAGCGAGACCCCGGGAAGCAGCATCACGGCTACCGGATACACGAAGAGTTAATCGAGTTGCTTCTTTGTTTTGACAAGGTGAGATCAGATTAGTGACTTTACTAGGATCCTGTATGCGCGTTTCCGAGACGCAGCACACATCGATGGCACGAGATTCTAAAGTCCTAGCTTACGAAGCCTGTTGCCCTATTTGGCACAATGTCCGTACATTTAAAGCTCCAACATGTAGTCTAGAACGGGGTTTCAAGAGACCAGGAATGACGTTTCGTGAACTCGCATCGTTTGCATTAGCTGTGCAGTGTGAGAAGAGTTAGTCGTGGAAATAAGAGAGGTATTAGGGGGTGTAGGAAGGATTTGATTGTGACCGATTTGGTCTCGTGTTCTGTCACGGGTATGAGGGCGGTTGTTGCTTCCCGGCTGCCCACACCGTGGAAGGTTGTTTCTTGAGGGACCTGAGAAAGGGAAGTAGATTAGTGTCAGTCTTTGAGACCTGAGAATGTGACCGCAGAGTCCAAATGACAACTTCTTGAGGCCGATCACGCACGGCCTTTTCATAAAAGATTTTTTGAGTATTAGCTTCACTCTTAAAAGCCCTTAGTTAGCACCCTTACTGCCGGTGACGGAAATCTGTGAGAATGGGTGAGGTATGACGCTTTTACGGTCGACCTTTTCTAACCCTTCCTTCCTTGTGAGAAGGCAACACCACTGCAGATGCTGGTTGTCTGAGGGAAACACCTTACTGCTGTCACACTCCTCTGCAGTCAGCAGTACGACTTCGCCCTAAGACCTTGAGTAGTTGCTTTTAGTCTTATCGTTCTCCGACCGACCTGCCTGACATGGTAGAACCTTCAGGAACATATGTTCCAGCCAATATACCTCGGTTGGGTCATCACGATAGTCAAGCCCGACCACCATATCAAAGTAGCAGATACGGCCGGGACCTGACATCAAGAATCAAATCAAAGGGTGATACAATCAAAATAACGAAACAAATTAATTAACAGGCAATCGAAATTCGAAGTATCTGCCGACGATGTTGTTCTTATGAACGATGAAACTCTGCAATCAAACCATGCAGCTCATGAAACGAAATCCCACTATAATCATTCACTTGAGCTACAAATTTCCCCCACGACATATTGCATTGATTCATACAATCTATACAACAATGATATTATACCTCGAAGAGTTTATAAAGTTTCGTGCTTTTCAAACCTTACTTAGATGATGGTCATTCAAGTCATATTTTCCTTCAAACTCTAATGTGGAGTTCGAATATGAGACCCCAACTGTTATAGGTTTGTTTAAATGCTTGTTAGCTACAGCCTAAATTATTAAGAAGTTTATCAAACAAGAAATCGAGAGTCGCGAAGTATTTTCAGTTTGTAACCCAGGAATACTAACATTGGAGGGCCTCTCCTTATTTTCACTTTCAGCAGAACTGGTATCCACACTTCTTATCTATTACCTAAGGACACTACAACCCTAATTCTGCCGATAATATTGTCTGACTATGTGATGGCACCCAAGCTATGCTATCTGCACTGAGTCAGTTGGAAACCGGTACCCTTACATATGTCGTATATTTAGCAAGTGTTAAGTATTTTCGGAAAACTGGCAAGAGCCTACGCTAGCATTTACTCCTAGTAGTGAGTGGATGGTAGTCACGAAGTTTGTGTATTCAAGTAAATGTGTAAGTTCTGGTGGTGATGCGATCGACCAAGTTAAAAGCGTGGAGGCTTATGTCAGTGTAGGCCAGATTTGGCACTGTTGTGATGTTAAGGCCACAATTATCAACCTTTGGTGAGAGCGATTTTACTCCATGCTTGTGAACCCTGGTCTCTCAAAGTTGGGGATGTTAAACAACTCCGTATACTTGACTATCATTGTCTTTGAAGGACTGACGATACTCAACAGTAACACCATATTAGTAAAGCAGAGGTTTGGCAGCGACGATAATCCAACTGGCGTCATCAGCTTCTGGGTTAAGTAACAGATTACAGGGGTCGAATATTGACGGGTGACTGGTAGTATTGATTTCCTGAAGCCAAATTAGTTTACTAAAATAATGTAGCTCAGAATTATTCGCAACTGCGAATTTTCGCGTCCTTATTTTTTAATTTGCAAATAGTTTTAATACGCTATATCATTTCCACACTTCTAATTTGTGCACAGCACAAAAAAATGGGCTCCCAGGTGAATCCGGTGATTTCTTGCAAAACTCTGTTACTGTTTAGAAACTGAAGCCTGGTGTGGATACATTATTACTACTTCGTTGCTGCGCTAGAACCAAAGGAAAATAATGAGCGGGAAAAATAATCAAAACTAAAACGTGTGATAGGGTTTGAGTTCGGTGAAAGCGTCTTCGGAGTGAAGAAACGGAATTCTTTAATAACTACTATCCGCAATTATCTAAACTGAGTTTATCGAGTATCAGGAGGAAAGTAGTTAACAAATGGCTTTCATTAAAAAATAAGGTGTAACGACTTACATCACTTGAGTCCATTTTAAATTGTGCCAACTGTTTCTCGTACATAGCAAGTCGATTAGGGACTACTGCCATTATATTAAATTTTCCATCTACACATTTTTCCATACGCTTCATTAACAATGGACGGACGGAATCTATCCAAGAGGAATTTTCAGGCAGCTTCCCATGATCAACAGGGCCGGGCTTTAGGCCATCCAGTTCGTACAAAGTACCGTTAATAGGAAGGTAGCCAACAAAATGGTATACGTCTTCACTTGACTTTGGGGTCTTATCGTCAAATTCAAACAATTGATAACTAGTTACATAGCGATATTAAAAGTTAAAATTACTTGCTAAAACTATTATGTACAACTCTAATCTGATCAGAATTGCTAATTGCTGTGCCTTTCATCTAAAAGAAAACTTTTCAAAAAGAAAAGGTTCATACTGTACTGTCAAAGTCCGATACAAATGACTTGAAATTAGATAATGTCGAACCTATGGGCACTTTGTCATCAATATTTAACAAGATATTAATTATGGCTTGAGTCGCACAAGCATTCGAAATTGTCTAGCAAAAATGTGTAAACAACTACCAAAGTACTTGTTTAGCGAAAAATATGCCTCTGTTGTTTTCGTCAAGAACTACTTTCCCAATTTCATCTTGTTTGTCATCATAGTTAAACAGAAAAATAAACCCAAGCGCATCAGATACGTTGCTTGTTTCAGTTAAATCATAAACCTCTTCGCACTCTAGACTTTCTACACCTATAAACTACGTTTAACAGTATTTCATAACTTACCAAAACCTTTAATAAGCTCGGTGAATACTCCGGGGTCACTTTCTATCAAACACCAATTGCCTCCACTTGACATCGGAGAAATTTGGCCTTCGGAATGAATTTCCCAGACAGAAGAAAATAAAGTAGTCAAACTTACAGTGAAAGAGTGTACTAAACTTCCATTTTCTTTCAACAACAAAGAAAAAGTTTATATGGGCTCAACTGAACAATAACGTAGCTTATATTTATGTGAACCATAATTTTTTACTTAGACCAATAAGCCATTTCCCAATTAAAACGGCCTACCAATGTTGATCCTTGCGGCCTGTTTTATGTTAGGCGTCTAGCGTTTCTTTAATATGGTTCATTGGTAAAGCCGACGCTTTTTTTCAGAGAGGGTAAATAATTATTCAAGAAAAAGAATTTCATTATCAGGTCACTAACTTAGTTCACATATGTTAAACCTATTCGTGTGTGTTGATATCTTTATTAAGACATGGGCTTGCTGTATTCCAAGGGAGATTTGTAAAAGTAGAGTACAAAATCCCTAACATATCTTCATGTCACTCAGAAACCTTTGGAATCTGTTGCATTGCAATCTGCAGTCTGTGAACTCTTGGAAGCCCTCGATCATTGACTGAATACTGGTGACCAATTATCGCGTCCTGTGAGCATTGATAGACTCACCAGAATCATTCTCTGACCTTAACCTTGTTGCGGTTTGGCTACTTTATCTAAGTTGGCTCAGAAGTCCCGACATCTAACCTAAACACATATTATTCTCCAAACGCTGACATCATATGCGAACACGATATCGATGGCTTAAGTAGTCTAGGTAATTTGATGACGTAGAGAAGAATTATTAGGGGACCTGGAGTAGTGCTTTAAAGTACAACTTATTCGACTATTTAATATATGAATGTTGTTCCATTAATCATTACTGCCTCCGTTCACAGAGGAAGTTTAATATCCACTATTTTACACGATATTCCAAGACTAGATGGCAATTTTGTACGTCTACAGTGTGACACATCAAAGGCCCCACTGAAATAGTGTATTCCATTCAGGTGGGCAATCCGCTTTCACAGAGTTATGTCTAATTAGCTGTTGCAATGGGTAACTTGGCTGAGCACAAGTTTTTATTCTGGAACTCGTAATGATACGGAGTTGTCAGATTCTGCAGCCCTTCACAGCGTTGTAACTCAATCAATGCTATTTCTAAAACATCCTACCCACTCTATTAATTGGGCTGATATGTTGGTTGCTATTCCTGGATTTAGAAGTTGGGAGCTCGGTGATTTGATGAAACAACCAAAGAACAACCAGTATCAATAATGCCATCGTGGAAATTGTGATGTCAGTAAATTCTTAAAATGCCTCGTAGAAAACGTATGCCAGACGACCAAAATGTGGTCTCATCCGATGAGTACACAAATCTGAAATCCAATAAAAAATTGTGAAAATATTTCATCTCTCCATTTTGTTCGAGCTTGTGATTTAAAAATCAAATTCATCATGTACTGCTAGTGTGCAGCGACTGTTCTTCCCAAGTATTGATACGTCTCACTTTAGCTTTTGCAAACCTACTACTGATATTCCTCAAGTGTACCTAAAAAGTTCGCAATTACTTTGTAAGATCAAGTCCAAAAATATTTCCTATCCAAAAGGAACTCTCGGCTTTTCCTTCCACTCCACAGAAGAAGCTTACGTGTTGACTGTAGGATTAAAATTGTTGTTACAGACTCAAATGTTGCTCTAAACATACTCTATTGGCTTCCGATTTCGTCATCCTTACTGTCCGACAACTCTTTGAAATAGCATAATTACTTTAAAAATATCCTAGTTACTATTATTTCTAGTTACTTGAATATTATCTTACTAGATATGGTGGCAGATTATGGCGAAGACATATCGTATATTGTGTGGCCGGAGCCTAACGCACAACAAAACAGGTTCACTGTTAGCCGATGGAATTTAGTATCCATTATTAGTGACGTCGACAGAATGGTATGAAAATAAGGTGTTCAGGTCTATGGTTCACATCCAGCGGCGAAATGAGTCGAAATTTTCATACATCGTAAGAAGCAACACTAAACATCAATGAACATGCAGTGGTGTTGGCTGTTGGCTTACTGTCGAGACTTGTAAGGATAGTATATTGACTCGCTAGCGCGTGAAACTTCAGGTGACTGTTTTAATAGTCGCCCACCGGTAATTAATGACCCAGGTTAATGACATTACCAGGAAAATGAGCAATATTTAAAAATCTATATTTAATTTTATGAATAGCTTCTTAGACATGGCGTAAGAGTTAGCTCAAGGAGTTCCAAGGAATTTCATTTGTCATCGTGGTATTTGATAAGATAATCAAAACTAAGCACCAGAATTAAAAACTACATCCAATCCACTATAATTTTCAAAATAGGGAAATTTCTGCATTACGTTGCTAAATGACAAGACTATAAGAGAGGTTATTATTTCATAAATGCCGAATGAAATGTTGTTTTGTATTGAAGTTCATTGTCTTTAAATGCCCCTGATATTTTAGAACTGAATATTATCGCTGTCACTAGCAGTATCCGATGTAATTATGCAACTTGAAGCTACATGGTTTTTTCCTGTGGTGCGCAAATTAATGACTAAATTGACGAATAAATTGGGACTATAGATAAATAAAACTATTTTATTTACATATTTAGGAGTTTAACATTATTCGCCAAAACTAATAGATCATGTTAAGTACAGTTGAATATAAGAAGACAGCTGGGTGTCATGTCAACTCATAATCATCATCAACAACAACGTAGAATTTTGCACGTAAGTACAGCAGTTTAAGTTGCCTTACCACATTAGCACAGAGACGCCAATGTCAACTCAAATAACATAGTAGTAGACGTATTAGAAGTAATCGGAGAGATTAGGGTTCGAAGATGTTACTCAAGAAGTATAATTCAGAAGGTTAGAATTTCATAGAACACAAAGAGTAAATGCACCTGCGCCTTTACAAACGATTTTGAGCCATGTCATTCAGGGTCTCTAACCATCGATTATTATCATCTCGCGGACCCCAGCTAGGTAGTAGACACCTACAAACAAGACTCAGTCCACTTGTCGGTGACTTCATGGATTTCTGCCATGTTTTGGTCTGGCCGCCCCAAACCTTCGTCCAACCTATTCCTATTTCGCAAAATATAGCTCGACGGGGCAGTCGGTGGTTAGGCATACGCAGCACATGTCCCAACCACCTCAACTGACGAAGTTTCATTACTTCATCTATTGACCTGTCATCCCTATCTAGCGTTCGTTTCCTAACAACAGCATTGCTTACTCGGTTATCCCACGATACTCGAGCGATGCTTCGGAGACACCTTTGACCGAAAACAAGCAACCAACGAATATCTTATACTCTAACCCGCCATGTTTCGCAGCCATAGGTAGGACGGAGCGGACTACTGCGCAGTACACTCGTTCTTTAGTCAGCAAACGGATATCTCGCCTTCGCCATACGTGACGGAGGTTGGCAAAAGCCAGTCGAGCCTTCTGGATCCGTGCTGAGATTTCGTCAGTCACCAGCCCATCGACACTGATGAGAATCCCGAGATAAGTGAAGCGGTCAACACGCTCGACTACTTCACTCCCTATCAGTGAAATCCACGGCTGCTCCCTAACCTTATGGTTTACCTTAATAGAAGATATCACTGCTGTTTCCACAGACTTTTTGATACGATTTCAAGCTGCCTCAGGATGGGCATCACTTACTACATGGCTGCCCAACTGTTTTTCCAGTTGTTCCTGGAATATATTCTTAGCCTTATTATCATTAAATAGAGCCCTAAGAGGTTTTCTTGCGTCCAGTAAGGTGCAAACAAATACGCGCTCTCACTAGAGCATGGTCTGAGTCAAAACAAGTGGTCCAGAATGAGCGGCGGTCTTCAACAGAGCCTCTCCACCGGTGGCTGATGGCAATGTGATCTAGTTGGATCCAACGTTGAGACGACTTCGGGGGTCGTCAGGTCAGAAGATGTTTTTCCTTATGCTCAAAATTAGTGTTCGCTAGGAACACTAGGAACAGCACCCTAAAATGGTCTATCCATTGATTTAATCACCTGGGTTAAGAATCAGTCACAAGCTCATTGTTTTCCGAGATGGTTTCGTTAACAGATGAATTTATAATACCGGTGTCCTTGATTAGGCAGAACAGTTGTCTGCTGTTACCTATCGCCGCTGCCTTCTTCATCGCTTTTGCTTTCACCACCCATCGCTGTTCACGATCATTGCATAAGCATTTTATCAGTCTGCGCCCAAGCTGACTCCGCTCTTCGTCCAGCTCAGAAAAAGGCGGGATAAGTTTCAGTTTTGATGGATGCTACTGAAACCCACGGCTTCTTCCTAACCTTATGGTTTACGTTGCTAGCAGAGACCATTGCTTTTTGAACAGCTTTTTGAGAACGATTCTAAGCTGCCTCGGGATAGGCATCACTTACTACATGGCTGCCTAACTGTTTTTCTAAATGTTTCTGAAATATATTCTTAGCTATGCCATCATTATATAGAACCATGAGAGGTTTGCTAGCAGCGTCTTCCCTACGTCTAGTAAGCCGCAAACAAATACGCGCTCGCACTAGGGCAT